ACTACAACACAACACAAACACACACACACAAACACACACACCCCACACACACACCACACACACACACCACACACACACACACACCCACACACACACAACACACCACACACACACACACACACACACACACACACACACACACACACAACACACACACCAGGGTCAGCACTATGACAGGAACAAAGAGGAGAGTATATAGGTCACGTGAGTGTGTGTGTGTGCACGTCTTACAGCCGGAGATGCCGCTGTACATCTCTGCGAAGCGGGGGTCTCTCTCCTGGGAGAACAGCACTTCTGTCTTGTCGATGTTCTTCCCCGCCTCGTGGACTCCACTGCTGACACCGGCCACAGGCACCTGAGGGGGGGGGGGGTAATGGTTGATGTTAGGGATGACAGACCTAAGTCAAACAAATTAAGAATACAACACACGTTTCACAAGCGACTCTATTTCAGCTTTTCAGGTGATTAGCCAATCAAAAGAAAGATGTTGAGATTAATTGACAATTCTAGTTTCCTACATCCTGAGAATGACTTCCCAGTAAGGACTGCTCTATTCCTGCTAGTGTTTACTGAACCTGTCTACATGTGTTATGCAAATAAAATGCACAACATTAAGTGAAAAAACTGTTATTTGCTGTGGGTCTTTCCATCTGGAGCCCTGTTCCCAGAGTGTGATCACATGGTGCCAAGGTGGAGGGATACCTGGGACAGGTCGTAGGCCGTCAGTCCGTCTCTCTGGTGCACCTCCAGCTCCGCCTGCTGCTGCTGCTGCAGCTGCCTGCACCCACACAACACACACTCCATCAGCACTGCACACTGACACATTCAGTATTTGAGGCGTACTTTGTTTTAAATTCCATTTAATAAGACAACTTTCATGATAAAAAAAAGGTAATCTTCATATCATTGAATCATCATGTAGCTGTGTTTTGGAGCAGGAATACATTATTTCTTTTAAAACGGCTTAGTTGAAGAATGGATTCTGATTGGTCAATTTGGACATTCCAGAGGATTGCTATTTTTCCCCGGCAGACCGCTGCTAAGGAGGAAGGGATGTTGTGAAAGTTAATGTTGTATTTTTGTCTTCACTACTCGTTGCTTTTCTGTCTTATTTTTTAATATGTTCAAAACTAAAACTCTTTTGAAGAATGATAACCATGGATATGTGTGTGTGTGTGTGTGTGTGTGTGTGTGTGTGTGTGTGTGTGTGTGTGTGTGTGTGTGTGTGTGTGTGTGTGTGTGTGTGTGTGTGTGTGTGTGTGTGTGTGTATGTGTGTGTGTGTGTGTGTGTGTGTGTGTGTGTGTGTGGGACCCACTTGACATTGGTGTTGGTGCAGATGATGTACTCGATCTCGTCAGAGTAGGGATTCTGGAAGGTGAAGCTGCTGGTTCTGATCAGCATCCACTCCCTGTTCTTCATCCTGAAGCGGTACATGACAGAGAGAACCTGGCCCTTCAGCTTCACCACCTGCAGAGGGAGGACCACATTCAGGAGTATTCATCATTTAATGTGCTTAAAATGAGCCATTACACACTAGAACCTTTATTTTTGTAGATTTTGATGCCAAGACGTACTTTTGCTCCTTTTACCTAAGTATAAGATCTGAGTACTTCTTCCACCACTGTATCTTTATTCCTGACTCTAAGAAGAACCCACCTGCTGGAAGCTCTCTCTCAGGTGACTCTGGTCCTCAGGATGGCAGAACTCCAGGATGTCTTTCCCCAGCAGGTCCTGCAGGACGACACAACAGATTTCATCTCATCAATCCAGAAGTTATCGTCATGAATAAAGTGTTTAGTACTCAAATAAAAACATGGAAATAGACCGTGCAGAAGGAATGCAGTGGTCACAGATTTGTTTTCCTCTAAACTGGAATCAAAAACAGATCTGAGAGGGTTATGATGCGTTCACACCGGAGGCAAAAAAAAGATTCGCCAAGCATCAGCACGAGTTTCACCGCGGCATCATTTGGGTTTACTTGCGTCACCTCAACTAGACGTGCTGGTGAGGAGGCGGGACTTATTTCCATGTAGATACCGACAACAACAACAACAAACAAAATGAACATATTATTTGGCCTACCTGGCCTACCATCTCGTGCACAAACTTATCTCGTGCCCTCATTGGTCATGTGCACGTCCGTGTGTGTTGGAGGAGGGGCTCTGTAAGGAAGTCTGAAGGAAGGGCAGATTTTCTCCGGTTGTGTATTTTCAAATTCTAGCGCACTCGAGCTGGTTTCTCCATTCTTACCTCCCCTACCTTTAATGCTTTAGCAAGTGTGTCAAAAGACGTTTACAATCTGAGTTTTCTGAAAGGAGATCGGATCAATCAGGCCCTACCGTTGTAGCTGCTCAGTCCATGCTCAAAATAACGTCATATAAACAAAAATAAAGTAGCAACATTTCACCTGCTAAAATAAGCGATATCTATCCATATATTCTTCTGATTTTTAAGGTAAAATAATAATTCATAAAGATTTTAAGTTTAGTTCAGGTGATAAAGTGATTCACAGACTAGGTGCAAACCTTTACTTAAAGCAGGAAGCTAATGAGAGAGTTTAATAATGCAGGTAAGAAATAGGACAAAGGGTCTGAAGGAATGTAACAAACACATTTTGGTAGCTGCTCCAAACAGCATGTATTTGTTATGATCGAGCAGAAACAGAACTCCTGAGTCACCGACTTCTTCTTGCTGAGTAGAGCAGTCAACAAACACTGACCACAGGAATGCTTCACATAGCAGCACAAATGTTTTCTTCCTCTGTGCTTATTTCCACTGTTAACACAGTAACAGGTGATCAAAGCAGGGCTGCTGAGTCATGGAGTGTGTCCCGTGTGCAAAACATGAGGACTTCATCTGATCCCCATCGTGACCAGGGTGCTGCAGCAGAGCCTCACTGAGTTATTCATGATGATTGGAATCAAGTGTTTGTTTTTCACATAGAAAGCCTTATTTTGTATAAGTGAACTACACTGACTTCTCGTTTCAGCAGAAGAGTGTTAATATATTGATCAAACTGTGACTATTAACATAAAATCCTGTTTGGCAGGCGATAATAATCAGAACAGCATGTCTTCTCACGGAAATACAATCTCCTTCACAGTTTCATTCCAATCCATTCTACATTTAATCCTTTTTTTTATTGCTGCAAAGGCAATAAAATGCTTCAAATTCATACTAATGTGAATCGTTAAAAGGGGAAAGATTATGCCTTTGAGCAACTGGAACGTTTTTATTGTAAATCCACTGTGGAGAATGTGTTGAGTTAATTGGTGACAGCAGCGTTCAAACAAGTGTCAAAGTTGATGCAAGTGGAATGAATTATTGAATGAAAATGTTTTTTCTGTTAAACGAGTGAGAGCTGATGGGTTATAGAATAAAATATAATTGAGTGCTGTCCAATTCAAATCTGTATGCAATGCATGTATTCTCACTTTATCAGACAACAGGTGACACTGTGCTTTCATTGACTGACAGTTAAAACAGCAGCATACAAGAAAACAGGGAGCTATCTGACAAAATCGAAATGTATATAACACCCAAGCCTGTTTCAGATTAAGGGCTGGTTCATTCTGCGATGAGGTCGATTTACGATGTACCGCTTTAATATGTCAAAAACCTAATTAAAACCCCATAAAAAAGTGAATGTTGGCAACTTGGATATGAATGTATAGGCAGTAGGGATGTTAAGATTCACCGATTCACATCGGTGCACCGGCATAAAGGTTCAAGATGTGAGTGCACCGGTTGAAAGAGTGCACATCGGCTACAGTTTGGGTTGAACTCGTGATGCAGCGATTGTAGCGTCTTTGCATCGGTAAACAAACGATTCATTCATATAATATCCTCTCATCCTGTCGGCACTCAGCAGAGACGACCTTTGATCTTTGCTTCGCACTACGGAGGCCGAGAGTCTCAGTTATCAACACACATGGAGTGGAGGAAAAAGAGAAACACTACGGAGGCCGAGAGTCTCAGTTATCAACACACATGGAGTCGAGGAAAAAGAGAAACACTACGGAGGCTGAGAGTCTCAGTTATCAACACACATGGAGTGGAGGAAAAAGAGAAACACTACGGAGGCCGAGAGTCTCAGTTATCAACACACATGGAGTCGAGGAAAAAGAGAAACACTACGGAGGCCGAGAGTCTCAGTTATCAACACACACGGAGTGGAGGAAAAAGAGAAACACTACGGAGGCCGAGAGTCTCAGTTATCAACACACATGGAGTGGAGGAAAAGAGAAACACTACGGAGGCCGAGAGTCTCAGTTATCAACACACATGGAGTCGAGGAAAAAGAGAAACACTACGGAGGCCGAGAGTCTCAGTTATCAACACACACGGAGTCGAGGAGAAAGAGAAACACTACGGAGGCCGAGAGTCTCAGTTATCAACACACATGGAGTCGAGGAGAAAGAGAAACACTACGGAGGCCGAGAGTCTCAGTTATCAACACACATGGAGTCGAGGAGAAAGAGAAACACTACGGAGGCAGAGAGTCTCAGTTATCAACACACATGGAGTCGAGGAGAAAGAGAAACACTACGGAGGCCGAGAGTCTCAGTTATCAACACACATGGAGTCGAGCAGAAAGAGAAACACTACGGAGGCCGAGAGTCTCAGTTATCAACACACATGGAGTCGAGGAGAAAGAGAAACACTACGGAGGCAGAGAGTCTCAGTTATCAACACACATGGAGTCGAGGAGAAAGAGAAACACTACGGAGGCAGAGAGTCTCAGTTATCAACACACATGGAGTCGAGGAGAAAGAGAAACACTACGGAGGCAGAGAGTCTCAGTTATCAACACACATGGAAGTCGAGGAGAAAGAGAAACACTACGGAGGCCGAGAGTCTCAGTTATCAACACACATGGAAGTCGAGGAGAAAGAGAAACACTACGGAGGCCGAGAGTCTCAGTTATCAACACACATGGAGTCGAGGAGAAAGAGAAACACTACGGAGGCCGAGAGTCTCAGTTATCAACACACATGGAGTCGAGGAGAAAGAGAAACACTACGGAGGCCGAGAGTCTCAGTTATCAACACACATGGAGTCGAGGAAAAAGAGAAACACTACGGAGGCCGAGAGTCTCAGTTATCAACACACATGGAGTGGAGGAAAAAGAGAAACACTACGGAGGCCGAGAGTCTCAGTTATCAACACACATGGAAGTCGAGGAGAAAGAGAAACACTACGGAGGCCGAGAGTCTCAGTTATCAACACACATGGAAGTCGAGGAGAAAGAGAAATACTACGGAGGCCGAGAGTCTCAGTTATCAACACACATGGAGTCGAGGAGAAAGAGAAACACAGCGCACTGAAAATACCTACAAATCAAACGTTTGGCAACACTTTGGATTTTTCAAGAAACACGGTCAACTTGAAAAATCGCTCGCAAATTGTAAACGATGCAGAGCCGCTTTAAAGTACACAAGTAGTACGAGGAACTTAGCGACGCACATAAAGAGGCGACATGGGGTCTGCGTCTGAAAAGAGAAACCTGAAAGTTAGACGTGAGTTAAATCACTCAGTGAGGTGTTCTGTCAGAGAGAGTGGTGTTTAGTTTACAGCAGCCTGTGACGGCCAATAATAGTTTCAATGGCTTCCTTACTGTAAGCAGTTATGAAAGAGCTGTTTGTGAAAGGTTATTTTTTTATTGTTCATATAGAAACCAGTGCTTTCTGCTCACTGGTGAATTAGCCTATGAATGAGTGTTAAGCACATCAGGCTGGCAGCTGCATAGCATTGCACTATGGTAGTTGTTATTTGCACATTGTTAATCCTGGGCAATGCATCCTTCAATTGTTTAACTGTGAGGTGTTATAACATTGTACTGTAGCCTACTCTGGAGAGTTTTATAAGGTCAAAAAGAAACAGCATGATGGGATGCGCAGTACTAGTAGAGAGAACCAAATATGTAAAGCACTTTTTTGTTTATTTATGATTTGCTGCATATAAGGAATAAAACAAAAATCCTCTGTCGTACCAAATTGAAGTATCATTATTTTTGCATCGTGTTAAATCGCATCGTATCGCCCCGTATCGCATAATGTTGAATCAAATCGTATCGAACTGTATCGCAACAGGGGTGAATCGTATCGCATCGCCTGGTGTTTCAAATGTATCATTAATGTATCGTATCGTGGCAACGTATCGAGATGTGCATCGCATCGGCCTCAGTGATGGAGATGCACAACCCTAATAGGCAGATGTCCCTTGCATCTTTAAAGAGGCCCTATCATGCTTTTGGGGGTTTTCCTGTAGTGTGTTATATATGTTTTTGTCCATGTAAATGATCTGCAAAGGCTAAAATCCCAAAATTCACTAACCTGCTAGCTAATGCTATCATGTTTAAACGGTTGTGCTTATAAGCTGAATGCCCATTAACTTTATCTACAATTTGTTTACAAAATATGGTGATGGTTTTTTGTTCACAACAAGCTGAAATGTGTGCTTAGAGTCTGTGTTTTCATTTCATAGATACTGTATTGGCCACAACATTTCATGCAAAAAATCCTCAAATTTGGATCAATAAAGTACTTATTTGCTTATCTTATCTTGAAATTCAAATAAAACTACCCCTGCAAAAGATGGCAAACTTCGACTTAGTTTGGCTAACTTGCTCACGTAAGCTAACACATCTCTAAGTGGTTGACCAATCACAACAGAGCCGGCCAGCTAACCAATCAGAGCAGACTGGGCTCTGGTTTCAGACAGAGGGTGAAAAGAGGAGCTGCAGCACATGTATGTAGTAGTATGAGAAATATAAAGAGCTTTTTGAACATTAAAGCATGGAGACATGTCACAGTAGAGACACAGTAAATATGAGCAGAATATGTCCTCTTTAATGTCAATATTCATGACAGTATCAGAATAGTCATTTTAATCCTCTCAGCTCACCTGAGGCTGATAGCCAATCACGTTGATGCAGCGCGGGTCCACGAAGGTGATGACACCGTCTGAGTTGTGGCGCGACAGGAACTCTGTGGGCACCGACAGGCCGTTCATGTCCATGGAGACCGGAGAGCTGGTCACCTGAGGGGGGGGAGCATCATTTACATACATGAAGAGGAGAAATCTGCAGTACAAATACAGCTACAAGTGACATGTTTCTAGACAAAGAATATGACTAAAATAGAGATGATCTGAAGTTCTGTTCCCGATTATAGTGACATGTCTTTAACAGATGTAGAGGCTCTGAGGACAGGGGCTGTTGGATGCTGTACAGTCAGTAACGTCCCCTGAGCAAAATGTGTAATTTTTAAGATGGAGCTACTTAAAGAGTGTGAATAATTGATTGATTAATGACAAAATGTGTCCGCAGACAGACAGATATATTAACACTTGGCAAAGTAATGAAAGGCCTCTGTGGTAGCTCCTGCTGCATTAGATATGATGACACCCAGACTTACAGGGTGGAATCAAACTGCTAATTTAATCATTCACAAGTGTAATAAAACTTAACTTTTGAAATCAGACTCTCAGCCAGCTATCTTTACCCTTGAAGTGTAAAACCTTTATGGAAGCATTATTCAATATTTAGCAAGCTTGTTGAAATAATAAGAGTGTGAAAAACACTCAGCCTTCACAGGGACAGGTGAGACGTGATGATGCTGGAGGAGTGCTTCCAGGAAGTTTGATATTCTTGTAAATCATTTAAGTGTTTAGTGTTTTCACAACTGAGTCTGGCAGCATGAGAAAGAAACACAGTTATATCTCTCACAGGCTCCGCCCTCTACTGGACTCTATGGGTACTACCCCCTATGCAAGCATTCACCTACTGAGATTTCTATAGACGTAGCCGGCCTTGGGGCGGGCCTACCTGAATGCGCGCGCATCTCACTGTATAAAAGGAGGCCTCGCCTCCTGACTATCATCCCTTTCTCTTCAGCGAAACAGAGATAAGACGTTTGAGAGAAGAAGAAAGAGTTATCATACCTCCAGGGAGTCGCCACTGTCCCCACCACCTCTGCTTCGAGTGTTTGGGGGACCAGGATATGGCAGAGGCGGTGCCATTTCACGTTCGCCGTTCCTTCCGGGTCCGGCGTCCATGGAAGTCCACCGCCCAGGGCTGTACTCTCCCTGGATGATGATCATGGCGGCGGGTGTGTGGGCTACTCACTCATTGCTAGAGATGCCCCCGCCTCACCAGGTCAGAGCGATTATTGGGCCGCAAGGCTGAATAAGTAGCTTTGTCCACGGGCCTTGCCCCAGGCCCGGTTCCCCCGGGGACCGGTGCTCGGTGGCTTCACATGATATAGGGTCGACCCTACTTCATCACAGGCCGCCGCCGCTGCCTGCCGTGTGATGTCCCTGGGATATCACGCCGCGTGGCACTTTCCAAAGAGGACCGTGTCGATCTCCTTACTCACGGGATAAGGAGTAGTCGCAGCTTGGCTGATTCTTGCACATCACTAGCGGAAGAAACACTGTCCTACACTCCCCGCCCCTGCTGTAAACCCCAGTATAGGGAGCCAGCAGGTGGGCGTGTGCACGTGAGTGGAATAAACGGAGTGCTGTCAAAGCACTGTGCGGGTTCAAGAGACGCTATTGCCGGCGTGCTGTTGTCAGAAAACACACCTTGCCTGGTATAATAGCTCCGATTAATGCATTCCCCCTCAATGGGAAATACAGTGTTAATACGTGGGCGTGCGGCCCTCGTGAGAGTGGCCGCGGTGCGTTCAGGAACCCCCGCAGGAGAACGGTGGTTTACGTTTGTAAACTCTAGTTCTAGAGTGATGTGTGTGTGTGTGTGTGTGGGGAAATTGCATTCAGTAAAAACGATTGCATTTATCCCAGAGTAAGAGTCATCTCTCTCCAAAATTCCACTTTTCCGCATAATGTCCGTTTCAAAGAGATGGCATTGTGACGGCGCGCGCGGCCCCCCCTCCCCCGAGGGCGGGCCGCGGTGCGTTCAAAGACCTCCATAGAGAGAAGTGTCACCGCAGCGCGCGCTCCTCCACAGACTTTCCTGCAGACGAGGGAGCGCAGCGCAACGGTGAGACGAAGGGAGATCCCGTGCCCGCGGCGCCCTCCAGTCTTCGGCCCACCCCGTGGAACCAGCGTGCCGGCACTCACGGGGACGGGCTGCCCGTCTTCACGGATCTGACTGGCGGGGGGAGAAAATCTCTCCGCCCGGGATGAGGGGGCGAATCCCGCCACCTCCCTGTATAATGCACAGATCACTACGTTTACTAATAAGAATGAGGTTGATCTGTATCCAAATCTAAGTGTCTTTTGTTTCCACAAATGCTACACTTAAACACGATGTTAACCGTACAAATTCCCCATTCGCTGCCCCAGCTGTAGCTCCTGTAAAGGAGGTGGCTAGTGGGCATGCGCAGATGAGAGGGATGAACCGCAGGGAGTGCTATCTAAAGGAAAGCGCTATGCGGGTACAGGGACATTATGGCCGGCGTATTACTGTCAGAGACTCACACAAGAGCGCGTGGCGGTGCGTTCAGAGACCTCAGTAGAACACACTAAGCCTATAAAGACTCCGATTAATGCTGTTTACCATAGTGGTGAAAACAGCATTATGGTGGAGCGCGCGCTCACACAAGAGCGCACGGTTAATAATCGGCCCTTTCTGTGTCGAACCTCCATGGGCAAATCTTCCCTTCACGGGGAGTTTTGCAGCGGAACAGGTCAACAGAGTATCACAGCTTCATAGCTGCGGCCCCACAGCTGAGGGATTGTCCATTAACACAATGTTATGGGGAATGGAAACTCTGCTGGGAACTAACAAAGTGGATGGACAGGACGCTGAAACGGGGCTATTCACTCCAGTTTTGCAGCGTCCCTCCTCCTTTTATGGGCATGCGAGAGTTAAATCTGGGAGATGAGGAGATGGGTTTCCTCTCAGCAGAGATTCAGGCTCTGGTGCAGAAACAGGCAGTATCTGTTGTGCACCCTCAGCACAGAGAAAAGGGTCTTTAATCCATGTACTTCTTGGTTATCAGGAAGACAGGGGAATTCAGATCTATTCTAGATCTCCGCGGCCTGAATCGCCACATTTCCTGCAGGAAATTCCGCATGTTAACTATGAAACAGTTGCTGGGGCTTGTGCAGCCGGGCGATTGGTTCACCACCATCGACCTGAAATACGCGTACTTTCATGTAGAAATTGCTCCAGAGCACAGAAAGTGTCTGCGTTTTGCCTTCCAGGGGATAGCCTACGAGTTCAACAGGCTGCCGTTCGGCTATTCCCTATCCCCACGCACGTTCAGTAAATGTGTGGCCACAGCGCTTCAAGCGCTACGTGCCCGTGGCATGAGAGTTTTCTTTGACCTAGACGACCTTATAGTCATGGCTGGGTCCCGGGAGCAGGCAATGTTTTGCACAGCACAATTGATCACACACCTAACCAAATTAGGCTTTGCGATCAATTGAAAAAAGAGCACCCCCATACCTCACCAACAGGCGTTGTAGTTGGGAGTGGTGCTCGATGCAGGCGCGCTGCGCCCCACCCTGTCAGGGAGCAGAAGTGCGTCCCTTCTCCGGGCGGTTCACAGGCTGCGACAGGGGGCGACAGTGACAGCTTTAACTGTCATGCAGACTTTGAATTTCATGACGGCTGCTCACATTGTGGTCCCACAGGGGTTACTGCATATGCGCCGCCTGCAGAGGTGGTTCTCCAGCCTGCGTTTGGATCCCAAGAGGCACAAACGGCGGCTGGTGACCATCCCCCACTCAGTGGAGGGCAACCTCCGGTTTTGGGGGTCCCCGGATCACCTCCGGAGGGGGTCTCCACTGGGACGTGTGACCTCCTACATCATAGTGTTCACGGACGCATCCAGAACAGAGGAAGAGGGCTATAGGTGGGCGCTGGGCTCTAACAGAGTCTCGACACAGCAACCTCCTAGAGCTACGGGCGGTAGTGTTAGTCCTCCAGCATTTCATGCCTCTAATTCAAGGGAGACATGTATTGGTCAGGAGCGACAACAGCACCACAGTGGCTTATATCAACAGGCAAGGCGGAGTCCGCTCCGCCGCCTTGTTGGCCACAGCGGAGAGGCTGTGGTTATGGGCTTCAGAGGTGGTGTTATCTCTGAGAGCCTTCCATATCCCAGGACTGGAGAACCTCATGTCGAGGGGCGGCCCCCTGCCAGGCGAATGGACGCTTCACCCGGAGGTGGTGAAGCAGATCTGGGCCCAGTTCGGGAGAGCGGAAGTGGATCTGTTCGTCAGCCGGCGCAACAACCACTGTGCCCTGTGGTTATCCATGGCCCTGGGCGACGACCCGCTCTTGGGGGTGGACGCGTTTGCACACGAGCCATGGCCAAGGAAGCTGCTATACGCCTTTCCACCGCTGCATCTCATTCTCCTCTCCTGGGGAGAGTGAGGCGAGAACGTCTGTCAGTCATCCTAGTGGCTCCGGACCACGTCGGGGCGCCGTGGTACTCAGAGATGACACAGATGAAGGTGGGCCAGCCCTGGGCGGTTCCCCAGTTCTGGGGGGCGATGTCTCAAGAGGCAGGTGCAATCGGGGCGTTACCCACTCTCGGCCGTCCTCTCCAGGTTTGGCTCCTGAGAGGGACAGGCTGAGACAGGGTGGATTGTCTGACAATGTTATTCAGTCTATCCAGGCAGCTAGAGCTGGATCCACCACAGCCTGTTACAGGCCGAAGTGGCTGGGATTCCAGCGATGGTGTAAGGAGCAGAGAATAGAGCCCCTATCGTGTGAGTTGGGCTCTATTTTATCCTTCTTACAGTTATTGGTGGACAGAGGGCTTGCGCATTACACAGTGGAAGTGTATGCAGCAGCCATCTCGTCCTGCCATGAGGGATTTGGCGGCAGGTCAGCCTTTAGTCAACCACTGATGTCGCGGTTTTTACAGGGGGTCAGGAGGCTGCGCCCAGTAGTGCGCGCCTCCACCCCGCAGTGGGACCTGGTGCTCGAGGCTCTGGTCTCAGAACCATTTGAGCCCCTGGAGCTCTCCTCTCTAACATCAGCCAAAAGACTGTCTGAGTTAACCGCTCTGTCGGTGCACCCGAGCTGTTTACTGATTCGGGGTGACCAGAGCGGGGCGACACTCAGACCGAACCCCTCCTTTGTGCCCAAAGCCTAAGGAGTGCGTTCAGGTCGAGGGCTATTCAGTTAGGGGGAAGGGAAGCTAAACTGCACCTCCTCTGCCCGGTGCGTGCGCTAGCATGTTAGGTGGAGCGCACGGCTGCCCTTAGACGCACCGAACAGCTGTTTTGCACATGCCTACGGACAGTCGAGGAGAGCCTGCCCCACGGGGATTTGTGCGCACTCCACACGGGCTGTAGCTGTGTCAACAGCCTTATTCAACGGTGTGAGTGTGGAGGATGTATGCACAGCGGCGTCTTGGTCAACACCAGGCCCCTTCATAAGGTTTTATCTCTTGGACATTTCTGGCTCTTTCTCCTCGTCTGTGCTTGCTGGGGAAACACAGGACTGGTGAGGAGGGGGGGGGCTGTGGGTCAGTAGGCGTCTGACCCTCTCCCCGGACGTAATGCGCCGTCGCCTTTTCCCGGGCCCTCTGGGGGGTCCCGGGATGGGCGAGGTGCGCGCTGGCCCATTACGGGGCGGAAGAACTACCCCGGGGTGGAAGGGCTACCCCCCAAACTTTAGTCCGCACCCACTCTGCACGGGGTCAGTGTTTGAGTGTGGGGCATGGGCACTGGCACTCTCCCTGTGATCCTTAGGGAGGTAGGTGCACAGTGAGCCAATACAGGGCTGGGGGTTCTCCCCATCTGCCTATGGGCGGAGGGGGCCCCCAGCACTGTTTTGTGAGCACACTTTCTGCGTGGAAAGCGCAGCAGAGTGTGCTCTGTCAGCCGCAGCCCAGAATTCTCCACGGTCCCAACCGGGTTAAGGGAGAATGTGGGGCAGCAGCTGCTGACCGGAAAAGCCGGTCAGGGGCAGTAGGGTGGAATGCAATTGTTGGACGACAGTGTGCGTATACATCAGGGCTCCACCCACTGTACCCATAGTCCAGTAGAGGGCGGAGCCTGTGAGAGATATAACGCCGGGTTACGTATTGTAACCCTTGTTATATTAACACAGGCGGAGCCCTCTACTCAGGGCACTGTCTGTCCTATACCGCTCGCTGAAGAGAGGTGTAGGATGATAGTCAGGAGGCGAGGCCTCCTTTTATACGGTGAGATGGACGCGCATTCAGGTAGGCCCGCCCCAAGGCCGGCTACGTCTATAGAAATATCAGTAGGAGAATGCTTGCATAGGGGGTAGCAGAGATGGGGACTCGAGTCTGTGACTCGGACTCGAGTCGCACTTAAGTCGCACACACAGAGACTTCAGACTTGACTTGGACTCCTGCTCAAAAGACTTCGGACTCGACTTGGACTCGTGTTTTGGGACTCGTGAACAATCATTGTGTTTTCTATTTTTGGCGTATTAAAGGTGGGGTAGGTAAGTTTGAGAAACCGGCTCGAGATCGCTAGAATTTGAAAATACACAACCGGAGAAAATCTGCCACTTCCTCACAGAGCCCCTCCTCCAACACACACGAACGCACACATGACCAATGAGGGCACGAGATAAATTTGTGCCCCGATGGAAGGCTGACAGGCAGGTAGGCCATCCAGTTATTTTAGCCGGGCCGGCTATCGGGATGTTAAGAGCATTCCATGGAATATTAACAAAAAGTGTATCTCGAGCCGGTTTCTCAAACTTACCTACCCCACCTTTAACATTAACATTAACATCATGGTAACACCATGGCGACCGGCGGCACACCTGCAGCTGTACCGCTTGTAATTAGGTTCAACTATAAAAACTTCGAACAAAACGCCGGCGGCACCAACAAAAGGAGCGCACACTGCAAAGTCTGCAATTTAAAAAAAATAGGTTGCTGGTGCAACAACGTCAAATTTCATCAGGCACTTGAAAACTCACCCGGAGAGGTCAGTCACATTAACGCATATGGACGGTTAGCAAACATGTTTAGCTCAGCATCAGCTATGTAATGTTAACTTAGCTTGCTACTAGCTTTGTAACTGAATATTTGAAAAGATGAGTGAATGTTTGCTTGTCACACTTGTTTGCGTTGAGTGGCGTTGAAATCCAACTCTTGACATGACGTAAAAAAGGTCGGGAACGTTAATCATTACGTTCCGCTGCCACCATCTACTGGCTAACGTTAAACGTAGAAAAATACATAGTTACATACATAAATACATCTGTCGGTTTATAGGCAGGTTACAGGTTTATTGTTGACCACGTAACGTTAATGTTACAGGTTTATCAGGTTACCATTACACTGGGTTTGAGTGAGAGGATAGAGGAATATGTTTATTTATAGTAGACTTAAAAGATGTCATTAGAGACCCAGTGTAATTAAACAATACGGTTGCAGAGGTCAAATTTTAACATTTTTGTCCACTGGCCAAATGGCTAGCCTAGTGAATGTTGAAATGTTACCAGCCACTCAATAGATTGCCATTGTTATTTTTGGCTGGTGCGTGCAACATACAGTACCAGCCACTTGCATGATTTACCAGCATTTGGCTGGTAAATGGTGTTAATGGTAGATCTCTCTTTTGGAACAGGTCATGTTTTAATATCACCAGTTCAGTATATTTCAGATAATATTGCAGCAATAGTTTTTTAGTTGCAAATGGCACAGAACAAATGTTTACTTTTAAGTACTTTTAACAGTTTCCCTGCGGGGGATTAATAAAGTATTTGTGATACTGATTTCTGATTCTGAAGTGTTTTGCTTATAAGTTGTTTGCATTTAGCTAAAGTGTGATGTTTGTCCTCATATTGCATTGCAATAGCCTGTTTTAAAGTGATCATATAACAAACAACTAATCAGTACGGATACTGTATGCTAATAGATATAGGAGTGATAATAATACAGTAAATGCTTTGAATTTCTTAGACATAGCTGTGCAGTATTCTTAACAGACTGGATAGCAGCAGACAATAGAAGGCTTATTACAACCAGAAGAGACATGAGACTTTTATTTTTTAGAGACTTGAGACTTGACTTGGACTCGTGACCAAAGACTTGAGACTTGATCAAGTCTCACCCCACAAAGACTTGAGACTTGACTTGGACTCGTGACCAAAGACTTGAGACTTGACTTGGACTTGTGACCAAAGACTTGAGACTTGACTTGGACTTGTGACCAAAGACTTGAGACTTGACTTGGACTTGCAAAAAAAGACTTGTGAACATCTCTGGGGGGTAGTACCCATATAGTCCAGTAGAGGGCTCCGCCTGTGTTAATATAGCAAGGGTTACAATACGTAACCCGGCGTAATAAAACAACAACAGAAGTATCTCCATAATGAGTCCAGCATGGAAAACATCTTTTGGCAACTGTTGTTGTGGGACAAAAAATTGGCCCTGCATAATTTGGGATATTTGTTTTTATTTTTATTTATTAGCCTTTGTTATATAGCTGGCATGACAGGGAATGAGTAGAAGGAGAGAGAAGAAAGATAGAGGGGACACACACACACACACACACACACACACACACACACACACACACACACACACACACACACACACACACACACACACACACACCACACACACACACACACACCACACACACACACACACACACACACACACACACACACACACAACACACACACACACACACAACACACACACACACACACACACACACACACACACACACACAAACACACACACACACCACACACACCACACACACACCACACACACCACCACACACGACACCCACACACACACACACACACACACACACACAGCACACACACACCTTCATTCGTCCTATTTCTCACCATTCATTATTTTCCAGTCGCAACCTGCCTCTTTTCCTTCTTCTTGGATCGTCATACCTGAGGAACAAACGGAAAGATGAGAGATTACGGTTGTGAAACAGAGGCAGAAGTTCTTCATAACATTGATTGGTTTGGCAGTAGCTCAGTCCGTAGGACTGGGGTGGAAATGTTGCTTGAGCGGTGCCAGGTGCCAGGTGCTGCCTGCTGCCTAACAACAGTGCATGTGAGTATTTAGCCCTAATGTGTATAGGTGTGCATGTGTGTAGTTTACTGTGTACAATAAAAGAGTTGAAATACTAAAAGTTCTCCTTGGGGATCAATAAAAGGTCTTCTTCTTCTGAGGTCTATCAAGCTCTTTCTCAGTGTGCTCCTTGATCCTGGCAGCAGGGAGTTCACCTCCAGGCTGACTCAGTGATTTACAAGTCATGTCTTCCACACTGACAGATACATTTCAGACACAATACAAGAGCATTATAACTGCTACAATGTTTCTGATATTTTCTAACTAAAGTGTTTTAGTTTAGTTCAAACATCCTGCCAGTGCAGAGTGGGTTCTTTGTTTTGTTTGTTTGTTTGCACATGTACTCACACATGCATGCAGGTGACTCACTATACATTTCTGTATTCTCTAGCAAGTTAAAGGCACAGCCTCGAATTATTATCTCAATAGGTCTTAGTACTATATATGGTCCCACCCTCGACCATGTCAGTTGCTCTAGATTGCTTCTATGTTGTTGTTTTTTTTTCTAGTAGAGATGCAAGGTTTTATGTGGTTGATCTTGGACATTATTTGATGCGTGAATTATATTAAATCGCATTTGGATAGTGCAGGACTTGTGAAGATTTGTGAAATATTTCATCATGAACGTCCACACTTACTACATTTTAATGGATTATTGTGGGCTAAAATGAAACAAATGATTATTTTGTAATGTTCTCTGTGTTTTCCACTTCCCCCTGCCGGTCTGGCAGCACTCTTCTTCTCTATCACAGCACTGAGTCACTAACAGAAACAAATGGAGTTGGTGTAAGTGAAAAATGATTTATGCACCAGGAGGTGACAGACAAAGAAAAGTAAATGCTAAGTTTTAACATGGGAGGAAATGTTATATCTCCCTTTCTTGTTATTAAACAAAGCAGCAAATAGAACGATGTGGGAGCAGCTTTGTTTTGAGACAGCACTGACCTTTTCACAAATATCATACCAGCTTTCCCTTAATGACATTATTTCTGAGGGTAGGTTCATGACAGGCGGAAAATGAAACTATACAAGCGACTAACCAAAATATTGTTTGTGAGGACAGACGCTTCCCTCTGTGACACCAGGCTGAACCAGGACATTAAGCCGAGGAAACAAAGACTCTTCTCTTTTGTCCTTTTCGTCTTGGCTCTTCTTCTTTCCTAGTCCTGCTCGGCTATGGCCAACTTCGCTCAAATTTTTAGGACCTTATTGTTTGCTACAGGCCATGGCTAGGGACTGATAAACCCCAAAGACCCACTCAACACTTCAAGCCCCCAGTGGGTTGAAGTTGAAGCAAAACTTTTGAATGACCAAACTGTGGTCCTGCAACTTCCGTATGATTTTGTGACGTCATTGGGCCCCGTGCCCCCTCTCAACAGAATAAGTCCCCTGGCCCAGGGCAGTCCTTACCCACCTGGGGACTCGATCTTAGTTTTTGTGTTGAATGTTTCCTGTTTTATTTTTGAACTGTATTTTCTCTTTGTGTCTGTTTCACTTCCTATCTTTGTGTTTTCCCAGCCTTTGTAATTGGCCTGATTGTTTCCAGCTGTGTGATGTCCTTGCTGTCCTTGTGTCTTTACCTACCCTCTCCAGCTGTGTCTTCTTAATGTAATTCGTCCCGTCCCTACATATGCCGGTCTGATTAAGTGTTCTTTGTCAGTCTGACTTTGTCCAACATCCTGCCAAAACCCTGGAAAAAAGGTATTTTTGTGTTTTCAAAGTATTTTGCCTTTGTACACCGTAGGAGCCAAAATGCCTATCAGGCCTGTGTTTATTGTTTTTGTACACTGAACAAAAATATAAACGCAACGCTTTTGTTTTTGCTCCCATTTTTCATGAGATGAACTCAAAGATCTAAAACATTTTCTATATACACAAAATAACCATTTCTCTCAAATATTGTTCACAAATCTGAAAAAATCTGTGATAGTGAGCACTTCTCCTTTGCCGAGATAATCCATCCCACCTCACAGGTGTGGCATATCAAGATGCTGATTAGACAGCATGATTATTGCACAGGTGTGCCTTAGGCTGGCCACAATAAAAGGCCACTCTGAAACGTGCATTTTCGCTTTATTGGGGGGGTCCGAAAACCAGGCAGTATCTGGTGTGAGGGGTAGGGGTAGGGTTAGGGTTAGGGTAATGTGGCGAATCGAGTGGCCCGTGGTGGTGGTGGGGTTATGGTATGGGCAGGCGTATGTAATGGACGACGAACCCCTCACACCAGATACTGCCTGATTTTCGGACCCCCCCAATAAAACAAAACTGCACGTTTCAGAGTGGCCTTTTATTGTGGCCAGCCTAAGGCACACCTGTGCAATAATCATGCTGTCTAATCAGCATCTTGATATGCCACACCTGTGAGGTGGGATGGATTATCTCGACAAAGGAGAAGTGCTCACTATCACAGATTTTTTCAGATTTGTGAACAATATTTGAGAGAAATGGTTATTTTGTGTTGATAGAAAATGTTTTAGATCTTTGAGTTCATCTCATGAAAAATGGGAGCAAAAACAAAAGTGTTGCGTTTATATTTTTGTTCAGTGTAATTAGGGATTTTGTGTACACAGCACACAGTTATAGTAATTGTCGCCTGGTCTTATTGGTATTTTGGGCAATTGTTGTAGGTAGGGGTTCTTGGAAAGACAAAGAAAGTAAGCAAGGTTCTGTTATTTTTAGTTGACCGTATGCTTTTGTTTTAGAATCTGTTTTGTTTTATTTCTTTATTAACATCCTGAAAGCAAAACTTCAGCACATACTTTTGTTTGCAACGAGTCACAGTGATGAGCCAGACTTAGCCTGTTAGTTTATAGAAGGTTTGTTGCTACATACACTGAACTAAGAACTCTGTAGCTAATTAAATTCCTTTTGTGTTTGCATTTCAGTCCCAGCGATTACTTCCCTGAACAAAATAATAGATTATGTTAAATTCTGTTCTATTTGAAGTTTCATTTTAAAAAGGCAAAGTAGATGCATGAATTCTACAACAAATATAAAATAAATTGATCATTCAATGTTTATTGCTAGACTGCAGCTTTATGTGAATGTGATTGATAAGATATTTATACCACATTTAGGTATACATGTATATGAGTAATGGGTCCAACTCGGTTTTGGCAGATGCCTAAAATAAAATAACTTTATGGAGTATAGGCTGAAAAGAATGAGATTGAATCCAGATCATACAGGCTTATCCATGACCTTTGGTAACATATACTGTAATGCCAGATAAACCCAGGACCATACACATCCAAAGGCCCAGGGACAGCCTATGGAAACACAGAACGCTCTGTAATCACGTCCACATTGACCTGGGTGCTGTTTAATCTGCGCTTATCACGGAGCAGACGTTTTAATTTGCTGGAATTCCTTCCACTTACCGAGGACAGTTTACAATAAAGTTGGAAGACATTAGCCTCCACATGAAACAGAACCCTGAGTCTGTCTTGCTTCGTGACTGCATTCCTCTCCTCAGTCAATTTGCAACGAATCTGAAGCGAGCGTGTTCTTCATACATCTGCCCGTTATGAGTGCGTGTGTCTCCTCATCCCTGCCTGCCAGAGCTATTGTGCCCAGAACATTCCGATGATTATTTTTAGTGCAAGGATGTAAACCATGTGTCAATGATTTCAAAACACATATGGTGCGTGTGTGTGTTTGTGTGTGTTAAACCAAGAAATATTCCATGTCACATCAAAGTTCTAAGAGGCCATTGAGTTGTGTGGTACTTGAACTTGTTGAGTTGCATTACCCCACCCTCACACACCAAGGGGGGCTGCCATTCTGTCTCTGTAAACACTGTGTGTGTGTGTGTGTGTGTGTGTGTGTGTGTGTGTGTGTGTGTGTGTGTGTGTGTGTGTGTGTGTGTTGTGTGTGTGTGTGTGTGTTGTGTGTGTGTGTTGTGTGTGGTGTGTGTGTGTGTGTGTTGTAAATCAGAGAGGGCTACTGGATACAGTTAAGGAATGGAATGGATGATGGTATGACGCTGAGGCTGCCTGATATAAGAACTTAGGCAGTCATGGATTTAGGGAGTAATGGATTACATTTAACGGGATACCGTGGTTATTATTAAGGTAGACATACTGCCTAGATTACCTTTTTTTGGTTTTCGTTTAGGCTACTTTCATTATTTTTATTTTAAATATTCTTTTTTGAAATGCAGTAGGTGGACAACTGATTTAATAAAATAAATCTGTGTTTGCTTTTGGTTAATGCATTGAACTAAAGCATTTGTAAATCATCATAGGTCTAGCATATAATTTAAAATGACAAATGTTGGATACTAAATATCTTGGTTCCTTCTTTTAAAGGTAACATTGTTGTGTTGCCTTTCAGAATCAGAAAGTGCTCGGTTACATTACTATATTCTGATTAGGTAACTGATACGTTTTGTTTTTTTTACATGTAACTAGTAATTGTAATGGGATACAGATTTGAAGTAATCCTCCCAGCACTAATTATGGGACACAATAAACTACTAATATACATATTGACTGGTGCTGTGCGATTGACAAGTATATCACAAAATGTAGCTTTTTTATTTATTTTTTTAGATAGACTAGTAATTATAAAGGGATAGATGTTTCCCAACCCCGTCCCCTTGTGTGTTATGTAGCTTTTTCTGCATTTAAACGGTCTGCAGAGTCAAAAACCCTCAAAGTACACCCTGTAGCGAGTAAAACTCTAACACAGAAAAGACCTGTCTATGCTGCCCCAGAACGCCTCGTTGGAGATTTCTCTTTTTCCATTGTTTGCTTCCTGGGTTCTGTGACGTGTGAAAACCCAAAGCAACAACAAATGACCGGATTAGCCCAAATGGACCAATCCGTGGAGCTCCTCACACACCAGAATCCCTTGGCTAACTAACAGGGAGTCCCATTGACTTGCATAGAGCTCCCTGAATGCTGGTAATAGACGAGTTTGGATGGCGGAGAAATGCTCTCCGCAGACTAGTGCTGCACGATTCTTGCTCAAATGTGAATCACGATTTTCCTCCATAAGAATTGAGATCACGATTCTCATCGTTTCAATGAAAATATTTATTGCACTCTTACTCTTAGACGTCACGTGAGTACAATGAATTTAAACAGACATTTGTCTCTCTTGTAACAAAAACATAACTTTGTCTTTAGTCTGTAGTTGCTGAATACTGACCAAACATTACTACATTCAAAATGTGGCACCTGAGCCAACTATTGTGGCTTTAAACAGACACCATCAACATCAAAGTGCTTGACTTAATTCCAAGTCTCAGTTTCTTGTAGCAAAAACATAGAGTAACTAAAATGAATTTGATAGCCAACTACTGTGGCTTTAATTGCTTGACTTAAACTCAAGTCTCTCTGGTAACAAAACATACAGTAACTAAAATAAAGATATTGCTGCTGCCTGAGTGCTGAACATAAAAAATAGAATCTTTGCAGCTTTATAATAACAAAATGTCCACAGTGACAGGACACCCAACTACTGTACAACAACACCAACCTGTTTGTTATAGGGTGATGGCTTTCGTTATCTCTTTGTGCCTTCGTGAGCTGTGTGAATATGGTGTTCCGTTGAATAACGTTTGGCTTATGGATGTTTGACTTCTTTGCTAAAGCATACTGTATTTTATGGTGACGTTGCAGGTGATTTAATAGGTTTGTGGTGTTACCTGACGTCGTTGCGACGATGCGAGAACAATGCTTACAGTGGACGACTTTTTGTAAGTCATCATCAGGATCAAATCCAAAAAAGTTCCACACACTGGATGAATGTGGTCCTTTTTTCGGCACAAGCACAACTTCCCTCTCACTCTCGCCAGAGTCGCCACCGGGATTTTCATCGGTGTTGTTGTCATTGTCCTCTACCTCCTCGTCACTCGTTTCTGTGTCACTCATTTCTGTTTTTCTTGTACTACTAGTCGCTCTCGTCACTCTTTGCTAATCAGTGCTAATGCTAACGCTTCTGTAAACATACTGCTGGCTCCTGCCCTCACGTGCTGCAGTCAGTGAGTGTTGCCAGGTATACTTATTATAAGCCACATTGGGCTTATCTTTCTGTAAAGTTGCTTGGTAATAAGTAATAATGGTTGTTGCGGTTGTGAGCTTGTAGATAGGTTATTTTCAAATAGCCGACCCGACATATATAGGTTTAAAGTGCTCATGTTCTTTTGCGCTTGTTTTCATAGACCTGGTTGCTTATTCCTTCCGCAAAAACTGGCAACCCTAGTGGCTGCAGCGTTAACACTGCATGAGAGGAGGAGAGACAGACAGAACACTACCATTTGCATGCGATCATGGTACTTTAATGTTAAATGTATAGAGTATATTTGCTTTACATCGTTTAAGTATGATTGACATTGCAAGTTGGTATTATTCAGAAGCAAAATAATTTAAAAAAAACAACAACAAAAAACAGCATGACGTCATAGGATCGCCGTAATTTAGAAATGAGATCGCATAGGTGTCTGAATCGAGATCACAATCTTTTTTCGATTAATCGTGCAGCACTACCGCAGACCCATTCTCATAGCGTTATAAACCTTTTTCTTACTCAATATCAAGCCACACTTATTGTTTTTACTTCGGCTGTGAGTGTTTGTGTGCTCAGGATGAGTTTCGCTTGTTCTCGCTGTATCGCCGACCCGGAAACCTGTCCGCTCCTCGCAGCAGCTCGCAGTAATGAGCCTCGCAACGTCCCGACCAATCAGAGCACACTGGGAGGGAGGGGGGGGGGCAGGAGCTCTAACAAGCCGTGTAGGACAGAGAGTGAATACACATACTATACAGAGATGCTGTATGAGAAACCAATGTGAGTTTGGAAAATTGCACAATTTAAATCTATTCTAGTAGACCTCAACAATGGAAATAAGATCAGTAGAAATGGCCATGACATGGGACCTTTAATAAAAAAATGTAATTAAAGTATATGTGTAATGCTAGTACAATGCTTTGGGACCTCAGCAAAGGATGAACCCACATATAAAGTCAACATAAACTGTGTGTGCTCGTATTAAAGGAACATTTCAGGATCTGACTTTTAATGCACACAATACTTGCTAGTCGGACCAGTTTATTGGTAGTTTCAATATTTTCATGGGATTTTCTGACAATTTTTTTTAACTATCACTATCCTAAATGACGGCTTAGATTTGTGTGTTGATCAGAAAAAACATGTGTGTCTAAGTGCGTTTAGTCCCATGAAGTCACTTCACTTGGTATATTCAACCCTAAAACAGCGAGGAATGTAAATATTTTTATGTTTTACAAAATATGTATTTATTGTCCATGGCGTCACATGGTTTGAGATTCTTTAGTTTTGTATCTGCAGGTCAGTAAGACGGGCCGGTAAAATTGTTGGCCTGGGTACAGGAGAGCTTGGAGAAATATCTTTGGAAGGTCTTTTTCACGGTAAAACAGATGTGTACTCTGGCTGACTGCGGCTGCTGCTCTTCAGAAACTACAAACCGTTCAAAGCCACATCTCCATCCTCCATGGGGAGTCTGCCTCATACTCCAAAGATAGATTATTGACCGGGTATTGTCAGTACTAATCACAGTGTGTGGATGGGATCACAATATGTGTCGGGAAGAGCAGCGACTTCAGCCATATCTCCACAACAAATGTGAGGAATGCTCCCCTGCATATGCATTTTTAGAACCTATTTAAGGCAGCACAAATGCAAACAGCTCAATCTGAAGAGGTTTCATCAGAGGAAGAGGAACACCTGGAGTTCCCGGGATGTTCAGGCGTGTTGTTACAGCAAACATGGGGAAATCTATCAGCCTGCAGTAGTCAAATTTAGACAAAAATATGTAATGTTTGCTTTGCGCTGTAAGTGAGCAGGCTTTCCAGAAAGCTGCTCTGTATCCTGCTGCTGCACCCTCACACCCTGGATGAGACACACAGGCCACACAGTGTGTTGTGGCTCTGCGGTTGAATCCGGGTTCTGATCCAGAGCTGTGCATGGCACACAGCTGCTTCAGGTTAAGCAGGGATAGAGACAAGAGCCTCCAGTTCAGTGTGTGTGTGTGTGTGTCTGTGTGTGTTTACCTGCAGGGGGCCAGGCTTTGATGTAGCCAGTGCAATGCACCACAGAGTACTGAGCCTCTCCTTCTTTTGAGGGTCCAAGGCCATTCCTGTCCATCAAACACAAACAGAGACATAACAACATGTTTAGTTCTCAGAAACAGTTAAGAAACGTGTAGATGCGTAGATGCATGCATCCTGTTGCAGTTGCTCCTAGATGTGTTACTATTACTATTTACAAATGTTGGCTCTTTATTTCGTCTTACTTCTAATAGTAACTTCAAGTAGTAACTTCTAAAGCTGTGCTCCCTCTAAACGTTCTTGTAGAGAGAGATTTTGTTTGCTTTTTCCAAAGTAAATTACCGCTGATATTCATTCAAGCTCTGTTTACACCTCTGACAGCTGATTGAGTTAAAGTCGGTTAGCATGGCTGAACAACAGCTCTCCCACTGAAATCTGGAGACGGACCCAGAGGATGCTGGGTAAACCAAAGAGACGAAGAAGGAGAGCTGGCTCCAGATTTATGGAGAAAATTAGATATAAGCCATATCTCCCCCTCGCACCATGGGCAACCTAAGAGCACTGGCTAGGAGTCAGACGGAATATCATCATGAGCCTGAGTCTTCATCATGTCTTCATCATGAGCCTGAGTCTTCATCATGTCTTCACCATGAGCCTGAGTCTTCATCATGAGCCTGAGTCTTCATCATGTCTTCACCATGAGCCTGAGTCTTCATCATGAGCCTGAGTCTTCACCATGTTTTCATCATGAGCCTGAGTCTTCATCATGAGCGTAAGTCTTCATCATGTCTTCACCATGAGCCTAAGTCTTTATCATGAGCCTGAGTCTTCATCATGTCTTCACCATGAGCCTGAGTCTTCATCATGAGCCTGAGTCTTCATCATGTCTTCATATTGAGCCTGAGTCTTCATCATGAGCCTGAGTCTTCATCATGTCTTCATCATAAGCCTGAGTCTTCATCATGAGCCTGAGTCTTTATCATGTCTTCATCATGAGCCTGAGTCTTCACCATGAGCCTGAGTCTTCATCATGAGCCTGCGTCTTCATCATGTCTTCACCATGAGCCTGAGTCTTCATCATGAGCCTGAGTCTTCACCATGAGCCTGAGTCTTCATCATGAGCCTGAGTCTTCACCATGAGCCTGAGTCTTCATCATGAGCCTGAGTCTTCATCATGTCTTCATCATGAGCCTGAGTCTTCACCATGAGCCTGAGTCTTCACCATGAGCCCGAGTCTTCACCATGAGCCTGAGTCTTCATCATGTCTTCATCATGAGCCTGAGTCTTCATCATTTCTTCATCATGAGCCTGAGTCTTCATCATGAGCCTGAGTCTTCACCATGAGCCTGAGTCTTCATCATGAGCCTGAGTCTTCATCATGTCTTCACCATGAGCCTGAGTCTTCATCATGAGCCTGAGTCTTCATCATGTCTTCATCATGAGCCTGAGTCTTCACCATGAGCCTGAGTCTTCATCATGTCTTCACCATGAGCCTGAGTCTTCATCATGTATTCACCATGAGCCTGAGTCTTCATCATGAGCCTGAGTCTTCATCATGTCTTCATCATGAGCCTGAGTCTTCATCATGTCTTCATCATGAGCCTGAGTCTTCACCATGAGCCTTCATCATGAGCCTGAGTCTTCATCATGTCTTCACCATGAGCCTGAGTCTTCATCATGTCTTCATCATGAGCCTGAGTCTTCATCATGTCTTCATCATGAGCCTGAGTCTTCATCATGAGCCTGAGTTTTCATCATGTCTTCATCATGAGCCTGAGTCTTCATCATGAGCCTGAGTCTTCATCATGTCTTCACCATGAGCCTGAGTCTTCATCATGTCTTCACCATGAGCCTGAGTCTTCACCATGAGCCTGAGTCTTCATCATGAGCCTGCGTCTTCATCATGTCTTCACCATGAGCCTGAGTCTTCATCATGAGCCTGAGTCTTCACCATGAGCCTGAGTCTTCATCATGAGCCTGAGTCTTCACCATGAGCCTGAGTCTTCATCATGAGCCTGAGTCTTCATCATGTCTTTATCATGAGCCTGAGTCTTCACCATGAGCCTGAGTCTTCACCATGTCTTCACCATGAGCCTGAGTCTTCATCATGAGCCTGAGTCTTCACCATGAGCCTGAGTCTTCATCATGAGCCTGAGTCTTCATCATGTCTTCACCATGAGCCTGAGTCTTCATCATGAGCCTGAGTCTTCATCATGAGCCTGAGTCTTCATCATGTCTTCACCATGAGCCTGAGTCTTCATCATGAGCCTGAGTCTTCATCATGTCTTCATCATGAGCCTGAGTCTTCACCATGAGCCTGAGTCTTCATCATGTCTTCACCATGAGCCTGAGTCTTCATCATGTATTCACCATGAGCCTGAGTCTTCATCATGAGCCTGAGTCTTCATCATGTCTTCATCATGAGCCTGAGTCTTCATCATGTCTTCATCATGAGCCTGAGTCTTCACCATGAGCCTTCATCATGAGCCTGAGTCTTCATCATGTCTTCACCATGAACCTGAGTCTTCATCATGAGCCTGAGTCTTCATCATGTCTTCACCATGAGCCTGAGTCTTCATCATGAGCCTGAGTCTTCACCATGAGCTTGAGTCTTCATCAGGAGCCTGAGTCTTCATCATGTCTTCACCATGAGCCTGAGTCTTCATCATGAGCCTGAGTCTTCATCATGTCTTCACCATGAGCCTGAGTCTTCATCATGAGCCTGAGTCTTCATCATGTCTTCACCATGAGCCTGAGTCTTCATCATGAGCCTGAGTCTTCATCATGTCTTCATCATGAGCCTGAGTCTTCATCATGTCTTCACCATGAGCCTGAGTCTTCATCATGAGCCTGAGTCTTCATCATGTCTTCACCATGAGCCTGAGTCTTCATCATGAGCCTGAGTCTTCACCATGTTTTCATCATGAGCCTGAGTCTTCATCATGAGCGTAAGTCTTCATCATGTCTTCACCATGAGCCTAAGTCTTTATCATGAGCCTGAGTCTTCATCATGTCTTCACCATGAGCCTGAGTCTTCATCATGAGCCTGAGTCTTCATCATGTCTTCATATTGAGCCTGAGTCTTCATCATGAGCCTGAGTCTTCATCATGTCTTCATCATAAGCCTGAGTCTTCATCATGAGCCTGAGTCTTCATCATGTCTTCATCATGAGCCTGAGTCTTCACCATGAGCCTGAGTCTTCATCATGAGCCTGCGTCTTCATCATGTCTTCACCATGAGCCTGAGTCTTCATCATGAGCCTGAGTCTTCACCATGAGCCTGAGTCTTCATCATGAGCCTGAGTCTTCACCATGAGCCTGAGTCTTCATCATGAGCCTGAGTCTTCATCATGTCTTCATCATGAGCCTGAGTCTTCACCATGAGCCTGAGTCTTCACCATGAGCCCGAGTCTTCACCATGAGCCTGAGTCTTCATCATGTCTTCATCATGAGCCTGAGTCTTCATCATTTCTTCATCATGAGCCTGAGTCTTCATCATGAGCCTGAGTCTTCACCATGAGCCTGAGTCTTCATCATGAGCCTGAGTCTTCATCATGTCTTCACCATGAGCCTGAGTCTTCATCATGAGCCTGAGTCTTCATCATGTCTTCATCATGAGCCTGAGTCTTCACCATGAGCCTGAGTCTTCATCATGTCTTCACCATGAGCCTGAGTCTTCATCATGTATTCACCATGAGCCTGAGTCTTCATCATGAGCCTGAGTCTTCATCATGTCTTCATCATGAGCCTGAGTCTTCATCATGTCTTCATCATGAGCCTGAGTCTTCACCATGAGCCTTCATCATGAGCCTGAGTCTTCATCATGTCTTCACCATGAGCCTGAGTCTTCATCATGTCTTCATCATGAGCCTGAGTCTTCATCATGTCTTCATCATGAGCCTGAGTCTTCATCATGAGCCTGAGTTTTCATCATGTCTTCATCATGAGCCTGAGTCTTCATCATGAGCCTGAGTCTTCATCATGTCTTCATCATGAGCCTGAGTCTTCACCATGTCTTCATCATGAGCCTGAGTCTTCATCATGAGCGTGAGTCTTCATCATGTCTTCACCATGAGCCTGAGTCTTCACCATGAGCCTGAGTCTTCATCATGAGCCTGAGTCTTCATCATGTCTTCATCATGAGCCTGAGTCTTCACCATGTCTTCATCATGAGCCTGAGTCTTCATCATGAGTGTGAGTCTTCATCATGAGCCTGAGTCTTCATCATGAGCCTGAGTCTTCATCATGTCTTCATCATGAGCCTGAGTCTTCACCATGTCTTCATCATGAGCCTGAGTCTTCATCATGAGCGTGAGTCTTCATCATGTCTTCACCATGAGCCTGAGTCTTCATCATGAGCCTGAGTCTTCACCATGAGACTGAGTCTTCACCATAAGCCTGAGTCTTCACCATGAGCCTGAGTCTTCATCATGTCTTCATCATGAGCCTGAGTCTTCACCATGAGCCTGAGTCTTCATCATGTCTTCATCATGAGCCTGAGTCTTCATCATGAGCCTGAGTCTTCATCATGTCTTCATCATGAGCCTGAGTCTTCATCATGAGCCTGAGTCTTCATCATGTCTTCACCATGAGCCTGAGTCTTCATCATGTCTTCACCATGAGCCTGAGTCTTCACCATGAGCCTGAGTCTTCATCATGAGCCTGCGTCTTCATCATGTCTTCACCATGAGCCTGAGTCTTCATCATGAGCCTGAGTCTTCACCATGAGCCTGAGTCTTCATCATGAGCCTGAGTCTTCACCATGAGCCTGAGTCTTCATCATGAGCCTGAGTCTTCATCATGTCTTCATCATGAGCCTGAGTCTTCATCATGAGCCTGAGTCTTCACCATGAGCCTGAGTCTTCATCATGAGCCTGAGTCTTCATCATGTCTTTATCATGAGCCTGAGTCTTCACCATGAGCCTGAGTCTTCACCATGTCTTCACCATGAGCCTGAGTCTTCATCATGAGCCTGAGTCTTCACCATGAGCCTGAGTCTTCATCATGAGCCTGAGTCTTCATCATGTCTTCACCATGAGCCTGAGTCTTCATCATGAGCCTGAGTCTTCATCATGAGCCTGAGTCTTCATCATTTCTTCACCATGAGCCTGAGTCTTCATCATGAGCCTGAGTCTTCATCATGTCTTCATCATGAGCCTGAGTCTTCACCATGAGCCTGAGTCTTCATCATGTCTTCACCATGAGCCTGAGTCTTCATCATGTATTCACCATGAGCCTGAGTCTTCATCATGAGCCTGAGTCTTCATCATGTCTTCATCATGAGCCTGAGTCTTCATCATGTCTTCATCATGAGCCTGAGTCTTCACCATGAGCCTTCATCATGAGCCTGAGTCTTCATCATGTCTTCACCATGAACCTGAGTCTTCATCATGAGCCTGAGTCTTCATCATGTCTTCACCATGAGCCTGAGTCTTCATCATGAGCCTGAGTCTTCACCATGAGCTTGAGTCTTCATCAGGAGCCTGAGTCTTCATCATGTCTTCACCATGAGCCTGAGTCTTCATCATGAGCCTGAGTCTTCATCATGTCTTCACCATGAGCCTGAGTCTTCATCATGAGCCTGAGTCTTCATCATGTCTTCACCATGAGCCTGAGTCTTCATCATGAGCCTGAGTCTTCATCATGTCTTCATCATGAGCCTGAGTCTTCATCATGTCTTCATCATGAGCCTGAGTCTTCACCATGAGCCTGAGTCTTCATCATGAGCCTGAGTCTTCATCATGTCTTCACCATGAGCCTGAGTCTTCATCATTAGTCTGAGTCTTCATCATGTCTTCACCATGAGCCTGAGTCTTCATGATGTTTTCACCATGAGCCTGAGTCTTCATCATGTCTTCATCATGAGCCTGAGTGTTCATCATGTCTTCACCATGAGCCTGAGTCTTCATCATGAGCCTGAGTCTTCATCATGTCTTCACCATGAGCCTGAGTCTTCATCATGTCTTCACCATGAGCCTGAGTCTTCATCATGAGCCTGAGTCTTCATCATGAGCCTGAGTCTTCATCATGTCTTCACCATGAGCCTGAGTCTTCATCATGTCTTCATCATGAGCCTGAGTCTTCATCATGTCTTCACCATGAGCCTGAGTCTTCATCATGTCTTCACCATGAGCCTGAGTCTTCATCATGTCTTCATCATGAGCCTGAGTCTTCATCATGTCTTCATCATGAGGCTGAGTCTTCATCATGAGCCTGAGTCTTCATCATGAGCCTGAGTCTTCATCATGTCTTCACCATGAGCCTGAGTCTTCATCATGAGCCTGATTCTTCATCATGAGCCTGAGTCTTCATCATGTCTTCACCATGAGCCTGAGTCTTCATCATGAGCCTGAGTCTTCATCATGTCTTCACCATGAGCCTGAGTCTTCATCATGAGCCTGAGTCTTCATCATGTCTTCACCATGAGCCTGAGTCTTCATCATGTCTTCATCATGAGCCTGAGTCTTCATCATGTCTTCACCATGAGCCTGAGTCTTCATCATGAGCCTGAGTCTTCATCATGTCTTCATCATGAGCCTGAGTCTTCATCATGAGCCTGAGTCTTCATCATGTCTTCATCATGAGCCTGAGTCTTCATCATGTCTTCATTATGATATAATATTTATTTATTTTATTCTAAATGATGCAACTGTCACAACACTTAATCTCTAGATAGATAAATAAAGCATGTTGATTCAAAAGCAATACCGTAGAGGCTTCTCAATACTCAAATTTCCCCTCCTCGACTCCTCGGTCCTCCGGTAGTGACCCGGAAATGAATTTCAGCGCGCCATTTTGAAGGACGTCTCATTTCTCTAAATGCACACCGAGGACCGAGCATCGAGCGTCGAGGAGGCTCTCTGGAGGAGCTATAACCGAGGATACACTGATGGTTCCTCCACGGCTCCTCCACGGATGGATTTCCGGGAACGGTGGAGGCGTGACGCACGGCCGGACTTATCTCAGCCAATGACAGCTCTGCATGCATCCCCTGGATATTATTTTAGAAACTGCTTTCATCGCGTCGCGATGTTTCCAGAGAGAACAGCTGTACGGTCCATGCAGAAAGCAGAGCAGTGTGTATAATATATATCACTCAGTATAACAGGCTTGGTTCCCCTCCTCGGTCCTCCGCTCGCATCTCCTGTGGGCGGGTCTAAGTCTCGAGGATGGAGGGGAACCGAGGAGGGGAGTCGAGGAGGGGAAATTTGAGTATTGAGAAGCCTCTATTGTCTCTAAGACTCATCTCTCTCTTCAAGTACCAGCTTTTACAATACCAACAGCTTTGCATTTATATAAAGTGTGATGCGTCACTACTAGCTGTTCTAGTACAGAATAAAGTGTCAATGAAACTAGTAGTGTCGAAAGAAAAATGAACTGCAACATTCTTATTGCATTTATGACCATATCACAATTACATTCTCAAGATATTATAGTGGATAACCACCATGGTAATAGAAGCGGTTCCTGTACCTGTATCTCTTCCTCATGTTAGATAGTCGGTTTAGGGAGATGTGATCCAGGGGAGCACTACCGCACCTGCACACAGAGACAGATGTTTAAGTGACATTCCAGTGGAAAACAATACCAGCAAACGGCTGCTAAGCACACACATACAACTGCTTGACAATACATAAGAACAATGTACTGACACCTCAAATGACGCCCTCTTTACTGAAGATTAAAACATTTTGTTACTTGAAGTCCATTCTCACAAACTATCTTGCACTGTTCCACTGAGAGCTTGTTTATTAGGTAGTAGACCTGTTGTAGACAACTGTCTTGTGATACTCTTTATTTTTAAAAGACAAATTCACCTAATTTCACATAGATTCAGTCTGAATTATGCTATTTTGGGGACGATGGGTTCCCCATACCCCATACATGTTCCACTTCACAATGTCTTTGAGCAGAGCTGTCAACTGTGGGCTGAAGGAGGGAAAGAAAGAAAAAAGAAGGACAGAAGAAAAAAGGAGGAAAGGAATGAAGGAAGAAATAGCAGAAGAAACACTCCTTTCTTCATCCTACTTCCTTCCATTGTTTAAGAGGAGGGAGGAAAGAAAGAAAGGAAGAAGAATTAAAGGAACGCATGGAGAAAGAAAGAAGGCAAGGAAGATTAGAGAAAGGAAGGAAGGGGGAAATGGGAAAGAAAGAGAAATAAGAAAGGAAAGGAGGGAATAATTAAAGGAAAGAATGGAGCAAACATGGAGGGTAAGAAGGAAAGGAAGGTGAGAAGGCAGGAAGTGAGTGCTTCCAGTTGGACTTCCTCTGGGCCACGGTTCACAGTCTGAGCTGTTTTCTGTTTTCTCTGTCTCGTGGCTGAGCGTTACATAAGCCAGCCTGGATCTAATCATGGCTTCCCTGAAACCCTGTCTTCCTCAGACATGTTTACACTACGTGTCACAGAAGTGGTTGCGTTTCGGTTTGCTTGCAGTCTTGTTCAAAGCGTCCCAGCAGCATGTTGTTTAAATTATGCAAAGCCTGAAATAGCAACAGAACAGAAGAACATGGCAGTCCAACACAATCCTCACAACATGACACAGTGTGGCTCCACAGGCCGAGACCTCTGAGAAGGATCCGGACCAAAGAAGGCTAAAGCCACGTGTCATAGAGACAATGGAAAAGGTGTGTATGTTGTCCATGAAGCAGTATACAGCTTCTCTGATGTATTTTGTAGCCATGTGATGTGATGTCCAACAGACGGCAATAGTTATTAGAACAGAAAGCAGGCCTGCTAAAGCCGGTCTCAGGTTTCAGGACTTTTTTACTGATTTCTGCCTGATCTCCGGACATTCAGAGGAGCACCACACTGAAAAAACTGAAAGGTTGACTTTAATTAAATGTATTATGTCGACAGGTTTCACATAACAGTATTAAGTTAGTTGAAAGCAATAATAATACATTTAAATAAACAATATTAGGTTCAACTTAATAGTATTGCTTTCAACTAACCTAATACAGTTATGTTCACATCATTTTTGGTTACTGTCCTATATACATTGGAATGATTTAAAACCTGTTGTTATTTATCCTAATAATTATAAAGGTGTGCCTTGTGAAAATTGTGATATAAACCGGCCCGGGGTGCAAAGGGTGTTTACTTTATTCAATTATTAATGTAAATGTGTTACATCAAGGGATAAGGCAGAATACAAATTAAATATTAATTTTCTTTTCTCCCAGCGCAGATCTGACGCCCTAGGCGACCGGCCTAGATCGCCAGTGCCAAAGGCCGGCCCTGCGGCTCCGTTAGCTCCGGCGACCACCACTGGGATAATTGGGTCCCCTTTTAACATTTGCTCCCTTTTAGCATTATGGGTGTCATAGCCATAGACAATAAAAGTCATACCCAAGGCTGAATCATAAACTAAACTGTGTATATATATATATTTATTAGGGATGGGAATTTGAAAGCAAATGTATATTCGAATATTCGACCCCCCAAAAAACGGTTAACCGGTTAACCGAAATTTACATATCCTATTAAAAAAAAATTGGGTAATTTCTTTTTTTTTTACCCAATTTTTTTTCAATCATTTTTGGAAATAAATAAATACATTGTTCAAATCTATTGAACTGGTGATCACAGTTTGACAGCTATAGGCCTACAGCTTTCATGTGCGGAGGCGATTCACAATCAGCCCAGCTGTAGAGAAGACCCTCTCAGCTGGAACGGAGGTTGCGGGTATAGCAAGGTATGGCATGTATATAAGTTTAATTTGGCATAGTTTGCCCTCTCTAATATTTCCACACATTACTCCTTTTTGACGCCATGTCTGTTGTGTAGGACTCTTCTTAGAGTGTAAATAATTACCAGACTATGACTGGTAAAATATGTTGAATACCGGCAAAACTAAATCTCTCCTGTCAAAATGTCTATGTACTTTGCCGCCACACACGGTTGCCAAGCAGCGCTTATTGTTGTTTAGGCTGGCCACTCATGTGTCGCGAGTGTTGACAGGGGGCGGGGGAGCACGCTCATGAACTGTTAGCGCCGGAACCTCGCAACGGCTGCGGAGCGCATTTACGCCACATTTGGGCCTAAGAGGAGGTTTGAGTCTGCGTGATCTGCGTGTAGGGAGGGGCAGCAGCCATATCATTGGCTAGAGCCAGCTAGATCTGATGGATTCGGACATAAACACGAGTGAAGTATAACCGGACGCGAGAGAGAGAGAGATCAGCACCTGCAGCTCTGCCCGCTGTGAGGGACCGGTGAGCGGAGCAAAACACACCTTTAGACGTCAACTAACACATTTAGCTATGGGACTGTCGTAGATATATATACATTGAATTATTCAATTTGATAATATGTAATCAACTTAGGCATCACTCCCAAAAAATAAATAAATAAAACTCATATTCGAATACATGAATAATTATTCGAATACCTGAATAATTTTGAATATTCGATTAATCGTTCCCATCCCTAATATATATATATATATATATATATACAGTAACTACAACTAGCTAACGTTGTAGCCTAGCAGAGTGGACAAGTTGCTGTTAGCTGACAGTGAGGCACGTACCTGTCCATCAAAGTGACCACGCCCTAATTTATGCAAAAACGTTAAGACCTAATATAAATAAAAGGGTCGCGTTATAAAACAATTCACTCACAAATTCATAATCATGAAGGTGGAATCTAACTATACCCTGAATAATTTTTATTGCATCCAGGGGTAGAAACATGTTTTTTTCTGCTGTAAAGTTGGGCATTTTAACATGGGGGTCTATGGAAATTGATCCTTTCTGCAGTCATCGCCTATCGGCCAATAGATGAACTGCAGTTTGTGGCACTTCCTTATTGGCCTCCCGGCTCTGCCCCAGAGTTTGCCGCTTGGTCTGAACACAGCAGACAACAGGAGTATTTACAACAGCATATAAAAACAAAAATACTGCATGTGGGTGCACACTTATTCTCTGTCTTACTGTTCCATACATCCCATCAATGTATGAGATTAAGTTAGCTTTATCATCTCAATCAGTGATTAAGTGAATAATAAAGTTTTTATCAGGTTACTATCAGCCTGTCAGTCATTATTTTTAGGGAGGGGGCGGGGGTTTGGAGGAACAGAGAAGACCATGATCGCGGAAACTTTCCTCCTGCCTTCACAAACTTTACACAAGTATTTGTCAACTGAAAATAGCAAGAGGACATTCATACTCAGCGATCCAAGACTTGATTAAATCCTTACATTACATCTTCTCTCCTATGAAATCAAACTAGATCACTATGTTAGGAATGATGTGCGGTGAGACGGTCATTATGGGCAAAAATAACTCAGAAATGGTGAGCAGGAATGGGTTTTCAGCATATTATATATAAATATATACTAAAAACATATTGATTCAAACATGATCACTATGTCACAAAAGTAAACAAAGGAGTCCAATTGAGTCATTTCAGGATGGAGGGAGTGGGGGAGAGAAACTCCCTCTGGAGGGAACACAGGGATTTTAGCCTCTGCAGACCATTTAGATGCACTAAAACCTACAGAACACACTACTAGGCCTGTCGCGATAATCGATAAATTGACTTATCGTACGATAAATAAAAATGGATTCGATAACTTTTCTGAGCTCGATAAATTGCCGTTTACATAAGGATGTGACCAGCATTTTAGCTAGGAGCGCTGTGGCTGCCAGGCGCGCTGTGAGGGGCGGGGCTGACACACAGCCAGGTCAGGACACTCCACATGCACGTGCAGCAGCGTAGCAGCCAAATTAATAATATAGCGACAAGCGGGAGACAACGTGTGACTTACTCGCAGGGAATTTAAAGTGAAATGGAATTGGTTACAAAACCTAACTACACAACTCGATTCTCCGGTGTGGCAGTATTTTGGATTCAAGCCAAATCAACGAGGCGAACCTACGGACTTCAATGAGCCGGGCGGTGTGTCGCATTTGGTTAAAAAAGGTAGCTACAAAAGCAGACAATACCACGCATTTTAAACTACACCTAAAACACAACCACCCCATACCATTTTCCCAGCTGGTAGCAAACAGGGCAGCTGGAGATGGAGAGCCCCCACCTTCCCGACAGTTTACAATCAAAGATGCATTTGCCCGACAATGCAAACATGTCTACTTGAGCAGGTCTCCCTTGAAAAAGAGATCGATGATCTCAAGGGATACACCTGGATAAATAAAGGCTTGAAATGAAATGAATGTGTTCCTTGCTCGAAAACTTTGAAAAACAGATTTGGATATGGCCTGTTGAGGCATCTGGGATAGATAGATAGAGAGAGAGCTCTGTTTTCCAGCCTGAGTCTATTTAATTTATTGTTTTGGTTGTGTGTGATTTAATTAATTTATTATAATTTAATTAATTTGTTTTATTTATTATATATCATTTATATATTTTAATATTATTTCACATTTCATTTGCAATGTTGAATGTTCAATACAAAGTTATGTTTGAAAGGATGTACTTGAATTATTATTATATATTATCATTCTCAGTGGTCTAAAATGGTCTTACACTGAACAAAAATATAAATGCAACACTTTTGTTTTTGCTCCCATTTTTCATG